TGATCACATTCACCTAAACACATCCATATTCTGGTTTCACTTGGCTTGTTTTATTACTTATTACGTTTCTCACTGTCGAAACACTTAGCATTGCATAAAATAACACTAACCTTTATTCTCACGGCCGGCTCTCTGTTAACTTTGACGTTGATTAAATAATTTTCGATATTGCTGCTCGGCAAATACAGAGTGTCTCTTCATCCTTTATGTCGCTAAAGTTGACGTTTCGCTTTTTCCCTTTTAGCCTTTTAGCCTTTTTCCTGTTCCTTTCCCTTTTTCCCCCGAGTATAGCCTTTTTCAGAGCCTGGAAGGGTATAATGATACGCAATTCATTATGCCAAACGCTTCAAAAACACAAGAGAAAGTGAAAATTTGAATGCTAATCTTATGAATAATAGCTTCTTGGAAGAGCTACGGTTTTCTTACATGCCCCGTAGGAAGAACAGCCGCTTAGACCTGAACTAACCCTTACGCAAAATATATTTCTCGAATGGCTCCACGTATACTAAATCCAAGAAAGGTGCTTAATTTATCTCATTTACTGTTATAGATAAGATAGTTTTTTTCACCATATTGAATTCCATTCACTAACGGATAAGTCATTTTCACTATAGCAGAACAATTGAGCGTTTTTGTAAGCCATTTTAACGAGCATTTGTATTCACATAGAGCACCTAGTAGCAATGCTCTATTTCAATTGCCTCCATATTTGCAGCACTTACTGTACTGTGTTACTTCTTTTTCAACTTGTTAATTTTTGAGAACGACACCTAAAGCTTTGGGCGCGTGTAGAGCAGTGCTCGGAGGCGCCCTGCAACACACACGTAGAATCGATGTCCGCGTCCATGGTCCACCAAGCCTTCCATCTTTCCGTGGTCGGCAAATTGGTACCAGACATTTCTGGGAGGATAGCAGCACTGGCTAGATACATCGGTAGGCCACCGCACGTCACTGTAAAGGCCAGATATGCATTCAATCACCTCCGAACGATATTCAATGAAGTCGAATGCATGGCGCACCCCTCAAAGATTGATCAACGCTGAGAGCTTTTGAGCATTTATACCCAAAGCTTTATTGCTAAAGATGGAATTGGTGATTGTAAATTAGCCTTGAGAGGTTTCGACAGGAATAAAAGCCTTTGTTCACTGAAGAAAAATTTTCTAACATCATTAGCTCGCAAGTATATTAAATAAGCACTGAGATATGTTCGATTTAAAGCCGGAATAATGCTACTCATACTAATTTTTTGGTCTTTGATTACACCGTTACACCACAGTTGTGTCCTCTTCTCTTCGGTCGTGGCCGCGTTCTTAAGAATGTTACCGGTTGAAAGTGAATAGCTGGTCAGTTGTAATTCGTAGTTTCCAGAAGATTGTGCTAAAAAGGATTGGCACCAGTTTACGGCAGATGGTCGGACCAAGAATCAGATGCCGAACTTTGTACTTATAGCTTATGGTTTTTAGTTGAAACATCTGTTAGCTGCTGCTTAAAGGGATAACGAATAGCGAATTCCTAACACGAACGAACGCTTTTTGCTTGTCTTGGGATATGAATAGATTCAGATGATGGGTTTCGTATCTACACTACGCCCAAATGATTTATACATTTCGTATACTCGTAATCATTACCATGAAAATCAGGGCGGTGTGTTTTCGTAGATACGCATTATGAGTCGTACTTATCGCATATAAGAGGCAAATAGGATACGCCTCTAACAAATGGGCCACCCATATATTCCGTAGGAATCCAAATATAAGAATTCCTTTCAATGCACGGCTAGAATAGCTACCAATAGATGTCTCCAAAATCAGTGAAAAGCGAAAACAGCCTTGTGCCAGGAGATTGATGCTATAAATTTCTCTCATCAAATGGAGGCTGCATATTTATACTCGCTGTAGACCAGCCAATGAATGACTGAATTGCGGAGAGGCCACGTAGTTCTTCATATGATAGATCTTCACAAAAATTGGTGCGTTTGAGACATTCTTCTTGTCTAGTCAAAGAAAAACAGAAAAAAACATCGTTTCGATTTTCCTTTAGCAGAACAAAATGTATTATTAATTAATTAACAAGATAAGCGGAATATTATATGAATAGTAATAACAATGTAAGAGAGGAAGTATAGAAATTAAAGGCATCTTTGAAACACAGAGGTGAACATCTATTGAGTAGAATTTGTGACAATAACGACCGCACTTAACTTTAAAGTGACATATCTTGGCCTGTAGTGAACATTCCCAATTGAAATCGAAACCATTGGCAATTAATAGCTTTTAGGTTTGTGAGCTTACACAGGGTTTTCATATAAGCTTTATCCGGATACCGTTTCGACGTCTTCGTCTTCATCAGAGCTGATCGTCCAAGTCGACAGTCTACAGTTGCTCTTGTTTTTGATGTAGCGTATTCGTCGTCGTCCTGAGACGGATCGAGATTATCACCATTTAAATTCTGTCAGGATAAAAACTGATTTGCTAAAGCCTAAAGGCCATAATTTTGTGATTCTTCTTAATAACTCAAAAGACCGACTTTCTATAAACGCCGGCTATATGTTCTTATGAGGATGCGTGTGGAACAGTGATTAGAGGCTCCACTGCGACAAGAACATGGAATCGATCCCCGCGCCCATGGCCCACCAAGCCTTCCATCCCTCCAGGGCCGGCGGGAAATTAGTACCAGACTTATCTGGGAAGGCTCGATGCAGCGGTAGGCCCCCGCCAGTCATTGTAAAGGCCAGTTAGGCATTCAGTCACCTCCAATGATACTTATTGAAGTAGAATGCATGGCGCATCTCTCAGGGAATGGTCAACGCCGAGAGCTTCACCCTTTTATTATATAATTGATTTAAAAATAATTTATACTCGTTCCTGATGTGATTCATTTCCAGCTATTTCTCTGAACTTTTTCCATCATGCAGCTACCTATGGGTGACAAATTTATCCGAGAAGTTTATCCTTTATATGTTTTTATGAACTGATCTTTTTGAGCTGATGCGATGTTGGTATAGTTGTCATTGTTGTTGTTGTTGTTGTCGTTGTTGGTCAATGGCTGGCGTTTAGCCGATCTCGCCTTCCGCAGAGCCGTGCCGTTACGAGTTTGTGGTTTTTTTTTGTTGCAGCTCCTGTTCTGGGCATGATTTCAATTGAGCCGATTGTTTTTGTTCAACGGTTTATGGTGTTGCTCTTCAATGTATCGATGGCGTTCACTGGTGCAACACTCGCAGTGGAATTTCTAATGATTTAAATTTGGTCTTCAATTTCCTGAAAACTTTATAAAATGCTTGCACACCATTAGAACGGTACAACAGAATGTCTGCAAATCCAAATCCGTGGAGATCATCAGTTTTCCCGATATCAAGAAATTGTCATTTGTTGTCGAAAAACCACCTCCTTGAGGCGTATCTCTTTAAGACTTGGACAAGTGAGTTGGAACGTCACACTTTCGCAGCATTTTTCCCATTCACCACTTTTCTTCACAATCATCGGTGTAAAGATCCGATTCGTATGTATTAACTACCCCACTGGAGGAATTTGGACTGGAAGTGAACGTCAACAGCGAATCCGATCTGTTCGTACGCTCGAGGAACACATTGATCTATTTATCCGGTAGACCTCGTGAGGGCGGTGTTTCTCTTTTCTTAAACGCTCGAATATCCTCGATGTCCATCACGTGCTTTTTCAAATTCTACTGTCGTGTCTTCGATCACTTTACGATCATCCCATTGTCCTTTTCGCCCAGAGACAATGCTGTGTAGAATTATATATTCTCTGTCCATTGATGAAAACTTTCCTTCTGGACTGCGTTCTTACTTCTAAGCTTATATCTTCTTCGCAACACTTAAATCATATTATATATATTACTATTATTCGGTTTTCTGGGTACCTACATCTGCCTAGGCGTTAATATTTGATGACGGCTCAATGGTGGCCTCATACGGTTTTCACTACGGTGCCGACAAATGATCGGTGCTTATCACCAGAGAATCAGTGTGTTTTAGTATATAGATGGTATGAGGCGCATTACTGGGCTTTGGTGTCAAGGCCGACTCACCCAACGACGGAAAAGATCAGATAACTGTAGTGGTGGCGCATATCGCGACACACTTTATAGCAGTAAGGAACGCCCTCGAATTTGTCGCTACCTTGGGCTAGATAATCATAGTCTTGGCTCATTTATCAAGTTTAGCATGCTTTAAAAATCCTACTGAGTAATGCAACTTTAGGGGTTAGATCAAACACGTCGCTGCCAGTGGGGCATCCAGTTCAAGGCAATTTAGGTCCTCGAGCTCACGTCACGAGAAGAGCGGCCATCGGCCCCGATGAAAACCTGTTTTCTGCTATTAATTGTGGTCGTACACCTAGTGTTTAACATTTTAAAATTCCGTTTCAAGTGTGGTATGCGTCAGGTTTGATGATCCGGTTCAACAAGCTCTGTAGCTCGCCTACGTTTAGCCGGATAGACGCTTCTTCCACTTGCAACCACTTGTTACCGAATTCATTTCTGCTTCTCACTTGGAGCGAGATACTGTCCACCTATATATTCGTCGAATTTTCTTTCCTAGCTGGTTCAAACTTTGTTTTTGGCTTCCTTCTACATTTATTTGATTGATTTTTAGTCCGTATTGATGAACATTTCTTAGGGTCACAGTAAGATCAATCAAATTTTTTCGATACTGTCCGTTTTCTTAAAACAGTATTCCCTACTACCACGTAATTTTGAGTAACTCATCAACACCTGTGGCGTATCACCCTTTCAGATGCAATTAGATTTCGTGTGTTCTCGAATTAGTGGATATGCTTTAGAATTTATTTTGCTTCATAACACTCCTTGTCGATTTTCTCACTTTTCTTCATCTTTCTGATCATTAGTAAATTCCCTTATTATGCCAGGTTACTCGCAAGCACTACACTGCTCTCATGCTTTTTTTTTTGTAACTTGAAGCGGTTTTTCGCTGACCACAATAATATTTTCTATCGGCTCATTTGACGACTTTCAGATTATCAATGCGCTATTTAGCGCTACTGGCGGCAGCCTGTGCCATTCTAGCCGCCGTAGGTGAGCTCAGAGCAATCTATCGTTTTGCTTACACATTTGACTCTAAATACGCAGTAAACGCTTAGGTTCGCCTGCACAAAGAGGTTTTGAACTTCGAAAATTCAGTACGTACGTTCTTTTAAACTCGAATTCCTTTGCACTACCATTGTAGATGCTGTGGATCCTTGCAAACGCCAACCATTCCGAGGCAGATGCCCGTCAAAAAATGGCGAAAGTCCTAAGCGATCACAGTTCGTTCTTCGTTACTACATGAGAAGTGGAGAATGCGTTAGTTATCCCTATGGTCAGTCTGGTTGAGGTTTTGTTTCTCACTTCGATTTCTAAACGCTTGATGTGACAAAGAATCACTTTGCATCTTTTCCGTATCCAGAATTTGTTATAGATCTCGAGGATTTCATGTACTTTCCCAAAGATTGTCATTTATTTGTTTATAACCATAACTCCAACACCCACGGACATTATGGAGATGTACAAAACTCTCTAGTCGCTCTTTTTTGATGTACTCTAGAACGCAATTGCACTTCCTTTCAATAACAACGTAGGATAACCACCATTGGCCGATTATGTTTGATGAAGGGAAAAGCAGGTGTCCTACCGTAGTGCTTCAAATTTGCTTTATTTGCTTTATCTTTTATGGTTAACAGTAGTGATCTCATTTAACGCCACGTCGAATGGTTTTACATTCGCAACGAAACGATCATCGTAAAAGCCGCGATTTGTCCCAGTTTTCAAAAATAATGCATCCGATAGGCGAAAGTACGTTGCTCAAAAAAAAGGATTAAACCATTGACACAAATAGTAGCGATTTGTAAAAAAGAATGATCGCAATACGACGTTCTTCTTCTTCAGCATTCCGAGAAATTTTTGCATACAACTAAAAAAAAAGAGCATGCATTATATTTGATAATGCAGATTCTACGCATCGATTCATTCGTATTATGATAGATGCATACGAAACACCATCTTTTAACGTTCTATAATGTCTTTTAGAACCTGTTTTTGGGAACTAAGGCAGCGATGTCCGTGTGGTTAAGGAGATTGACTCGAAATCATTTGGGCTATGCCGGCGCAGGTTCGAATCTTGCTCGCCGCGAATAGAACGTGCAGAGCAACTATTCCAAGCTGCCGATCGAAAAAAATGCCGTGGGACACAAAGCCTGGAGATTTTACGAATTTTCAGATGTAGAATTCGTCTATAAAAGCTTACACCAGCCTCGCATCAGCTCAATCATGTAGACAACTATATTCTTATTTTGCAGTTTTTGAAATCTGGATTTTAGGTCACTGTGCCAACGATGAATCTGAGCCACAACTGTATCGGTATAAAGAGGAATGTGAAGATGCTTGCATAAATCCACCACCAGGTAGCCAATTGAATTTACGCCCAAGATTGCAAGAGTTGTAAGCATAACCCAAGAAACATAAGTTACTTTAACGAATACTCTTAGGTAACCATTAACCACTTACGGTTTTATGCATTTTATAACCTATTTATGTCATTGCCACTAATACTCTTACTCGATGCATGATGGTCACAAAACTTTTCCTCAGCAAACCTCGGATCTCCGGATGTAAGAGATGAGCAGACCTACGCTACCATTGGACCCTTGGGGAACGATTTACACATTGAAGAAAGCACCCGGAAGGTTGTGGTCACCACCACCGTTGGCACGACTCAGGTAAGCGCAGCGAAAATTTCATTGCACTTCATTATGATGTTCTTTCCTCAGTAATTTCGCACATTCATTTCTTCATTCCTCATCACTCCTTATTTCTCGTCAGACCATTATTGTTCTCAAGTATCCACTATCAACTGCGGTTCTGAAACCTTTTCCTTTCCTTCCAGCGTGTTTTCCTTGATTGTTTTTAAAAATAGGTTGAAACATAGTTGGCACGTAAAGTTCCTTTCCAAAACTTTTCACATCGAACAAAGGGAAATTCTTGAAAAGCGCCAAATTTCTGTGGAAAAGCAGATGTTCAAAGCATTACTTATTCGCTTATTGACAAGAGAAAGCTGGTTTAGTTCGTTCAAATTACACTTGATGTAGAGAAATTTTTTTTGGAAAATTTCTGTTGTCACTTTCTTTGCATGCTACCTTCAAATCAGGACCTCACCGTCGAGTTTGGGACGACTACCAGGGAGCATTCCTCGACGTTCACTACAACTGTAGCATCAACTGCTTCAACAGGTGCACGGAGAACAGCAATGACGACATCATCGGAAGCTAAAACAGACACTTCCGAACCGACAACGATGTCTACTACAGTTGGAGCTACAACTCGGCCCTCCACTTCTACTACTACTGCTGGCACTTCCACCACTAGCACATCAATCACCACCGTTGAACCATTCTCAACACCAAGCACGACACCTAGCAAAACGACCTTCAGCACGAATACTATAAGCACTCAACAAGCGACGAGTGTTCAGGTCGACATCACTACCAAGCCGAAAGCTAAACAATCCATTACCGCCAATGCGATTCCAAAAACAGGTGAGATGTGACGAAGAAGTTGTTAAGTTCCAAAATTAAGTGATTCTTTATTTAAAGAAACTCTAAGCTCAGTTGTGCTTCAGCACTTGAGAATGCCTTCGAAGACGATTAAAAAGACTTTTTCCAACAACAATAACTGTAACTTTATTCGTATTGTTTATTATTTCAGCTTTTTTTCATACAGTCTTATAGGTAGAACCTTTCCAAACATATTGCTAATGCACCAAGGTCTTAATTTGAATGAATTAAGTAGGTCAACGTGAGCACACAGCCAGTCCTTACCTCTATAAGATCCTTCGTATGAGGCATTTTACAGTATATTTTTGCAACTGAAATTTATTGGGTGGTTTCGTCACCATACGTGAGGACTGTTCCAAGCCTACAACGACTTACAAGATTGAAATTTGTAGTTTTCGACAAAACTCCCAGCATTTGCGATTACGATTAAGTTCCCCCTATAAAAAACTGAGAGATATTTCATATTGCCCAGTACTTTTATATATGTATTTTTTAGTGTGAGAAAATCTGATAGGTCTCTGATAATATCTACCTCAGAATGCGAACGACGTCGTGCGCACGCCGCAGTGACGTCAATTCGCGGTGGATTCGTACCCGTTTGTACTGCCCAAGGAGATTTCGAGAAAGTTCAGGTATGATGAAAACAGCGGTCATTGAACAAATTGCTCCTAAGTCGTAATATGTAGCAGACTGAAGAAAACGGTCTTCCTTTAAATGCAGTATCCTAAAATACCTTTTCTGAAAACATTGAAAAAATTGTTGATCAAGGTGGAGTTCTAGATTTCTCCAGTTACTGAACTATTATACTTCATAGAAAATGTGCTATAAAGTGTTTCAGTGCGAACCTGATGGACGGCAGTGTTTTTGCGTAGATGCGAGAGGACTCGAAATAGCTAACAGTAGAACTCGAAACGGTCGAAAACCTGATTGTAACAGTAAGCGGTTGAATAGTCTTTCTGCAAGTTTCATAAAATCCACACAAGGTGGGCATAAAGACAGTGGGGTCTGCGGCGTGTGTGGCGCAGTGGTTGGAGGCGCCCTGCAACACACACGTGGAATTGATCTTTGTGCCCATGGTCCACTAAGCCTCCCATCTGTCCGGAGTTGGCAAATTGGTGCTAGAGTTGTTCGGGAGGTTAGCAGCACTGGTTCGATACACTGGTAGGCCACGATGAGTCATTATAAAGACCAGATATGCATTCAATCACCTTCAAGCGATGCTTAATGAAGTCGAATGCATGGCGCATCCTTCAGGGATTGATCAACGCCGAGAGCCTTGTTTCGAGAACATTATAAAAATATTACAAATATAGTCTTTTTCATTAACTGCCTATCCTTTTTCATAGCAAGATATGATGTGAGATATAACTACAATGATGCTGAGATATTTGCAAAACTCCGGACCACAGGTGTATGCGGTGAGAACGAATGCGCTATTACCCCTTCCGGCGAGTAACGTTTTCACCACCGCATCATACGGGTCCTTCGTTTCGCTTGTCTCTCAGCTAGTTTTATCAATCCAGTTAAGCTGAAACTAATACGGCTGAGAGGGAAGCGAAACAAAGGACCCACATTATATTGTAAACAATGTTATTATTTAACGTATTATTCACTGCCTATTCTTTTTAACGGCAGGGTATACATTGTGAAATATAACTCCAATGATGCTGAGATATTTGCAACCCGGATGGTGTGGTGGTGAAGTGCGCTACTCTCCGGTAAGGACAACAGCACGTGTTCGTTTCCTACCGCATACACCTGCGGTCCGGAGTTTTGCAAATATCTCAGCATCATTGAAGATTGTTATTATTATTACTACATGACTCGATATCATATGTATCACTTTGGGCGGGTCCTGGTTTTTTTGGATTTGATTCGTTTCCTCGCACCAACCATCCACGAACGTGCTCGAACTCTTTTTGCTTGTTCCTTCGACTGCTGTTTGAGGATTTTTGGTCTTCCTCACGAACGTCGATTAATGCTGGTCGAGTAGAGTCCCCCTGGATCATGGGGCGGGCGTAAGAGGGCGTTGTCACATCGACTAGAGGAAGGCAGTTTGTTCCAGACAAGTTTGGAACCTCTTTCCCGATACTAGAGATATGAGAGGCTTACTGGACCCGGAGTGATGTCGAACCAGTTGCTGAGTAAACTGGGCTGTCCGCGTTATGAACGGGGCTACTACTTCTAGGCTATCCACTTCCTTAATTTTTAATAAAGAAGATAAGGATGAAAACTTATATCAACAGTATCATGGTTTTTAATTCCAGAGCCTATGACAAAAGTTTATTTTTTGTTCAAACTACTCACCGTTTTTTTGTTCTTTGTACATGCCAGATTTATCATAAACCAGGAAAAGAACCGAGGATTGATTTTTATTTCAAAAAAAGCCGAATATACCTATATACCTTATACCTTAGTGTTTCCTAAACTACAAATGCTCACTAGTTGTTCCAACTCGTTTCTTGCATGGGTAGCGGCACTCACTAGAGATCTTTCTATATTTCATAAAATTGAGCTCTTATACTGTCTTAGTTTTGGCCTAAATAATGAAAAATCTATACGTGGATGAAGCCATGAATATCAGATGCCCTAACTCTTCTTTCAGGTATCCAATCTGCTTCCACTCCGAGAACAAAGGACTGCGTGGGAGGAGCAGTTCGTGGGCCGTGCTCTGGATCTCTGGACAGATGGTATTATGACGAAGATGAGGCAGAATGCAAGGTATAGCCACTTAAGAAGCTTCTATTGAGAGTTCATCTGAGATTTCGTCTTCGAATAGTTGATAATCAAAATTTCTAAGAAAAGCATTCATACTAGTTTTAGGTATTTTACACTAGAAATAGTAACGCTACTTGCTTGTTTTGGTGCAAAGATGTCTCTTTTTAAATGAACTGTCCTACACTGCTCTCCCAACGGTTTACCGCCTCATCGTGACTAAAAGGTGTTCCCGGTTCCGGGCTGCGATATATAGTGGGGGATTCATTCCCGCGGCAGAGTCTCCCAAACTGAATGGAAACCGACGTTTCCATCAGGAAGCCTAGTTAAGAGTAGACCAATACCGGGTTCCACCACCGTCCTGGTATTAAGGTTGCAATCTCAGCACGACTCCGAAAAATGGAGGTTGTGCTGAGGCCCGCACTACCAGTGAGGGCGAGCCGTCCAGGTATCCAAGTAACTAAGTCTCATCCTCTAAAAATTTAGAAGCCAAAATTCAGTGATGGTATTCGTTTATGAAGATAACTGAAAGCATACGATATGCATACAAGCTGATATTAACAATTTTTCATTATTTACTTATTTTCACAAGACCGCTGTGCGTGAATAATTCTGAATGAATGGCAAGTGGTACCTAAATTTCTGAGAAACAGTTTTTACTTTAGAATTTTACCTTCTCTGGATGTGGCGGAAATGGCAACAATTACGAGAGTAAGCAAGAATGCATTCAGCGCTGCGCGCCACCGCCAATGGGCTTACCAAAGTGCGAAAAGGTAGCCGGTATTTTGCCATTTGCTTACTTTCTTGCTACATTCAGTTTGGAAAATTGTACATATGTAAACATACATAAGTGTATATAAATGCATACACATATCATAAGTTTTTTCACGAATAAATTGAATAAATGAATCGGAAACATTGGGCTTGTTACTCCATCACCCTTCGGTCGGTCGGTTGATGAGCCGAATGATTTGCTTTCGCTACTGGAATTACGGCCATCTCGGAGGAATTAAACTTGCAAGGCAAAAAGCATCCCCTCGATGCGCAAAGGCCGGTAGTTGCCAATATTGAAGACCCGTGATGTGAAATCATGGTTTACTCTTGTATTCGAAAAAAGACCACTAAAGTCAGCATGAAAATTTGTTAAAGAAAATCAAAGACAAGTGCTCAAGCTGCGGACAAAGTGGCACCCGAATCCGATCATCTGACCAGATGACTCACGTCACATTTTATTTTCATTCTGATAGTTTTTCGATTTCAGGGTGAACCACTAAAGACAAAGCTGGGGGTCGCAGTTAACTGTGCTAAATCAGACTGTCCATCAGGCTACAAATGTAGCGTCGTACAGCAGTCAAGCGTTTGCTGTCCGGAAAATAATAAAATCAGTGAGTTTATGAAGAATTTGGCAGTGGCCTGATTATTCTGATAAGGAATACTTAGCTGATCCTAATTCTGGAATGTGTCTTTTGAAAACCGGCATAACCAGCTAATGTAACAGCTTATCTTAACCCTTTTATTTACTGCCTTTTCCTTCTTAATGGCAGGATATGTTGCGAAATATAACTCGTATGAAATGCTGAAATATTTGCAAAACTCCGGACCGCATACACCTGCGGTCCGGAGTTTTGCAAATATCTCAGCATTTCATACGAGTAACGGCTTATTCTTATTGTTATAATAACTTTAGTAAGATTTCAATAAAATTGTTGCTAGACTATAAAGCTATAAGATTATTATGAACGTAGGTCTGCTTTATTAGCAATGATCCCATTAAGCCGTGCGGCGAAATAGGTATACGCTTCGCTGGGTTTCCAGATGGGAAGCAAACCCTTGAACTTGGCGAATCTTACTGAAGAAAAAGCTTTTCGATTAAACATTGCACCAAGGAAATACCTCTATCTTCTCGCGCACTTGTGCGTAGATTCCTTATTGATGATTCTATATTACTTCTATTAGAATTCAATGTTATTTAGTTGGCCTTCAAATGTCAGGCTCGGACGACGTATGTTCTCTGCCGAAGGACCGTGGCCCATGTGACAAATACGAACTTCGATTTTACTTCAACGCCGAACTAAAGGTAAATAAAACTAAAGATAAAGCTGGTTAACACTTTGCTGTCTTACAGGAAACCCACAAGTATAACACTTGCTGCGAACCTTTCACATTAAAAATATACTTATTGATTAAATAGAATATACGGTTTTTAGAATGTGTGTACGGTTTTTTTTGCTTTCTTCCTATCATCACCTCATTGACATATTTCATTTAACACGTTACACATTAAGATGCTGTAATATCGTAATAGTTTGCTAATTAGCACGGTGCATAATACAACAAATACATAAGTGATTATTTCTCAATGTTAACGTTCTATTTTCTGCCTACTATTATTTTTCACAGCAGCGTATGACGTGAATTACAACCACGTCGATGCTGCAGTATTCTCAAAACATGGACGACGGGCTCGATCAAACCACGATTTCCCTTTCCGGAAGCACGCGCATCGCACCCTGCGCCACGGAGGCCCTTGCTCTGCGTTTCTCTCAGCTAGTAATCCAGATCATACTCTACTGTGAAAAACTATAGTACGCAGGAAATAGAACGCAACATTACGATTTCGACGGCAGCTTCAGCTTAACTGGGTTCAATGTCGATTTGTGCTCCCCAGATGAATCCCGCTAACGGTTGATTTCTGATGGCATCGTTAGGTAGAAAACTAGCTGAGAGAAAAGCAGAGCAAGGGCCTCCGTGGTGCAGTGTGAAATGTGCGAGCCACCGGAAAGAGAGATCATGATATGAAAGACTTCGTTTGGTTCTTTTTACCTGAACTATTTTAGGAATGCAAGTATTTCTTCTGGGGAGGTTGCGAAGGTAACGGAAACAACTTCGAAAAGGTCGAAGAATGTGAATCGACTTGTGGAATTATAAAAGGTAATTTATTGCTTAATTTAAGGTAGACTGCAGTGCTATGGTCTGGATGAAGTAACAACCGATTTTAGTGAAGCAAAGCATGCCGATCACCACGAGGACTACTCCAACCGTGACAATCGGTCGCCAACCATCCTTCTCATTCAAGACCACGCAGGGAATACGAATAACACCGTCTAATCGCCCAAAAGTTGAGGAACTCACAACACTGGGAAAGCTTGTCGACCAGCAGTCTACGATTGCACTCAGGTTTTTCATATTTTCATTTATATAACCGGAAACAATATAAGGCATTCTATGTCTTGTAAGACCTTATAATTTAGCCAATTGCTCTAGCTTACAAAATTGATTTCAGTCTTGTTTCTGCTATAGAAGGGCATATACTGTAGATCAATAAACTATAATAAGAACGAATACCATGGCGTTTCAATATTTCTGCCTTTATGATAGCAAAACGAGATTACAATATAAAAGGAGTTGCGCTACTGTTTACGTGGCCTACATAAAGGATAGAGGATGAAGCTCTCGGCGTTGGTCAATTGTTGATGGATGCGCCTTGTATTCCACTTCATTAAGCATCGTTGGAGGTGACTGAATTTATATATGACCTTTACAATGATTTTCCGTGGCCTATCGATGAATCGAATCACTGCTGCTATCCTCCCAGACAACTCTGATACCAGTGACGACTGTGGAGGGATGAAATTCTTGATGAGGCTGGGACGCGGGGATGGACCCCATGTGTATTGCAAGGCGCTTACGACTACTGCGCTACACGCGCCCCATTGCTTACATAAATAAATTAGTCTAATAAGTAGAAAGTAGGCACGACTTGACACTGATAACGAAAAACATGTTTTGAGCTTAGGAGATTACAAAATTTTCAAAAATATTGCAGTCGTACTTCGGTTGCGACATCGATCAGCACTGGTGCCACTGCTGCCACTGCCACCACTGCCACGGTGCCAGTAGGAGTCTTGTCAACGGGATCTTCAACACTCCAGTTGGCGAACAAGCTGAGTACTGAAGCTAAAGTTGTGGCGCCAGTAGTCCATGTCACATACACACGTGCTCCACCAATTCCGGAGATGTCGCTACTGGAAGGTAGTGAGGACAACACGGCTGATGGCGGTAATCTTGCTTTTCGTAACACAAAACATAACTGAGATATCACGCATGCTACAAGCGCACTCACCAGATACTACCATCTATAACAACTGTTCCAGTTGCAAAACACTTATCAAAAACACGTTCACATGTAACAAAAGACTAGACCTGGGGCGATGTTCGCATAGCTAAAGGGTTGCGGCATAAACCACTATATCGTATAATACAGTACTGCACAACTTTACTCATAGATCCAATCCATGGTTATCCAATTACCGAAGAATTCGATGTTTTTCTTCAATAAGTAGACACGAGGTTGGTTTTGTTAGAATACAACGTTTCGGAGGTTTCGCCTTCTTCAGAGCCTGGAAAGGTCAAATTGAGATGTGATCTACTCAGCCAAACACTTTCATAACCCTAGCGGATAAAACTTAACGAGTAAATTGTATTCGCATAAGAAACAGCTTCATTTAAATACCCACCGCTTATTCGTTGTAAGTATTTCGATCAGTTGGTGGTTAGCAGACGCACAGAGCAATAAATGGGCCAGAACACGTGTCTCCTTATTGATGAAAAACACCGAATTATCAATGAATACCGCAGTGAATAGACAGTCGGTCTTGGGAATTGCTATCGAAGAATTATCATTGTAACGGCAACCGCTTTAATATTTCAATAATATATGGTGCCATTTAACGTATTATTTACTGCATATTCTTTTTAACGGCAGAGTATACATTGTGAAATATAACTTCAATGATGCTGAGATATTTGCAACCCGGATGGTGTGGTGGTGAAGTGCGCTGCTCCCCGGTAAGAACAACAGCGCGTGTTCGTTTCCCACCACATACACCTGCGGTCCGTAGTTTTGCAAATATCTCAGCATCATTGAAAATATATGGTGCATTCGGCGGCCAAAAAACACAGCATCACTTTACGTAGTCACAATTCTGTCAAGATTCGTGGTGGGTAACTAAAAGATCCCGAAATTGGACACAGTAACTGAGAAGTAGTTATGTTAACACAAATCTGACAAACCCATTTTCACGTGAGTAGGGTAAAGTGTATAAACTGTGTGCGACTGTATATGCTTGTGGCTACGATAATTACCGCGGAAGCAATTTTAAGCGCTTTTTTTAGAGAAAATTAAGCTTTGGGGCACTCATCTGACTCTGTTGTGCCTAGGATTACCCGGGCTTCACTCCAAAGATTGCAAAAAGGTGGGGTCAATCTCAGCTGTATATTGCAGTTTAACATTCAAGATCCTCTTAGCCATGATAAAGTAGTAAATCACTGGGTTACAAGTATCGGCCTGATTTCCGCCCTCCTTGTGTAACAGCACCGTCACGTTTTCCCGACTCACCTGACGAAATAAAGCGATATCTCAATAAGAAGCTGAAGGATGCTTGCATGTTCTTAATCATCGGTTTAGAATTCCAAGAAAAGCATACCGAGTTTATCAGTTTAACCCTGCATCAGTTATGGCGGGTTCACCACAACGAACTAAACCTATCTCTGATTAACCATTATTGTAACATAACATCACTATGGCAGTCAGCTCACACAAACCGAAGCACTGCATGTCGCCTTCAATGAAATGCGACAGTTACTAGAACGCTATAATGAATAACGCCAAAAACAAAGACCTCAGTTTAAGTTGAAATTCTTTTATTTCTATTTATTATTTTACTCCACCACTGCTAGTTTCTACTGTTATGAGACAGTTGTGAAAAAAACAAACTTTTTAGTGGACTAATACTTCTTCAAACTGGGACTATTATGACCTAAAAACCCACGTGTCGATTAATTAGCTGGGAACAACAGCGTTTTCTCATTCGAACAAACCATGGAAGCTTTCGGACACAACAGTGAAACAAAAAGGATTAAATCTGCCCAATAAATTCGAGATCTCATTATTATGCAAGACAGACCATGGACCAAGAAAATAGCACAAGTCAACAGAACACTTCAACAGTTACCTGTCATCGTTGAAAAGATCATGTAATGTCAGTTTGGAACATATAGCAATACTGGTAATCTCGTAACGCTACAGAATTCGGTGAATATGCCAAGCATAAAGCATATTTCAAAGCCGTTCACTTGATATCCACACACGTCGCTTAAGAGAAGAACACTAGGTGACCCATTGAAGAAGCTCATACATGAACGTCTACACCAGCACCGTCACGTAGATGCACACAGTTGCTACTTGATACAAAAGTTGAAGTCCTCTGCTTTGATAATCCATACTCATACCGATAAACTCTTTAGGAACAGAGCTTCGATTTCATGGCTCCACTCTACGGATGTAACAAAGTAATGTAAATGTAAGAGCGAAATCTACTTAAATGGCTTTAATTTCACATTTACTTTTTTATAAAAGCTATTTTACAACCGAGAGTCTTAGATTACAAAACACGTTTTTAAAATTGCACGAAACGGTTAACGATTACAACGATAAGAAGTATTGAGAAGTCTATTTTGATAGTCGCAAATGGTTGCATGTGAACTTGGTGTATAACAGTGGCACTCGCACATTAACTGCTCACTAAAACACTTCACTTAGTTTCGTTAAATTCTTGTAGTACTAGAGTAACTCCAGAATGCTTCTTATGAAACAGTTCAATTAATGTAGCACTAATGAATTTATTTTCAAGTGAACCGTTGTCTTCATCCAAGAGATCCGGGAAACTGTCGTGGACAGTTCGTTCGATGGTATTGGGACAATGAGAATAAGGTAAGAACGTTGAAGTGAAATCATAAAGAGGTCATTAATACTTATGAAGTGCTAGTGACTGAATCGCAAAAGTGTGTTAGAGGCCGGAAACATATCTCTATTAAAGAAAAACAGAAACATAATTTGCACAATGTGATTGATACCCAATTTTTAAGAGATTTTGAAGACACAGAAGAAAAGCTTTTTGGATACCAAGACAATTTTACTAACATTTGCATTATTTAATGATTAAGGTGTGTGACGTCTTCACTTACACTGGATGTCAAGGAAACGGCAACAACTACGCGAGCCGTGAAGAATGTTTAGCGATTTGCCATAAGGAAGGTCAGTCATACTCTTTAGAAGAAATTACTAAGTGTTCCTAAAGTTGCCAAAGCCTGTAAAGTACAAGCATTTTAAATCTATTGTATAATTCGACGTTGAGTGATTGTTGGAAATTCAAACACTTCAAAATACATCCAGGTTGGTACCTATGAAAACACGAACTTTATAAAAGAAAATTCGTCCGGCGGCTCTCAAAAGATTCCTTCGCTGAGCGAAAACTGGAGTTATTTGACTAGATTCTAATTGGTGGGAAATCGGTCAGATGAATACAGTGTATGGAGAAGGTTTCGTAGCTCGACTAAACCAAATTTTTACCCCAGGTTGCTTGAGATATGCGGTCTGGCGTCAATGCCATTGTAAAAAGTGTTATATTACATTCTTTGAATTAAAAATCAACGGTAGCAAGAACACAATGAGAAACAAGAAGATAGAATATCCAGAAAATGAATAAGAACTAAACGCATATCTTCGACTTATCTGGGTTCAATACCAATTTTGCTCACCAGATCAATGCCATTGACGGATTGTTGCTGATAGCACCTATTGGTTAAAATAGGGCTGAGAGAAAGGCAAAGCGAACGACCCACATTATGTGGTGGTGAACACTTTAGCCCTCGAAATAGTAATAACGGGTTCAATTCTCACCGCAAATACTTGTGGTCTAGAGTTTCGTAAATATCTTAGCATCACTATTGTTGAAAGCAACTTTGCTCATTTTACAGCTTCACCTGTCGTCAGTAATGACGAAAACTCGAATGTTTGTAGGCACGATGTCGACTCTGGAGAATGCAACGGTATTTTCCAGGTGAACTGTTCGTTGAAGTTGAACGACGAGCTTTTTCCTCGAGTTTCACTCTAACTAATGTTTTTGCAGCGCTTCGCTTTCGATACGGAGTCCGGTGAGTGTCGACCGTTCACATACGGAGGATGTGGCGGTAACGGAAACAACTTCGCCACACTTGCGGAGTGCCGCATTAAATGTCAAAAAGGTGGAAAAACTGTTTCAAATTCATTACCTCCTTATCGTTTTCAAAGTTCTTACTATATCAATGATTTATCTCATTGATTTATTCTATCATTTTCGTGCCTCTGTAGCACTTACAAAGGCATCAAATTTGGGATAGTTATGCTGTGGCGATATGGGCCATTTTTTGCTGCACACGAGATGAATCTGGCTCAATGCATGCAGCCCAGAGTAACCTTTCCTCTATAGCAGTGACATCTCAGCACCCTCCTCACAGGCTATGGTTCCTCTGTTCTCTGTACTTACAGCAAGGAAGGAGAAAACAAACAATATCACACACGTCTTAAAACACGTTTTTGTACCTTCTAAATTGTAGAAAATACTTATTTGATACTTGATACTTGAACGGCCAATCGTCAATGGTTGTGTGGACCTGATCACAATCGCCATTTTTTGGGGATTTGCAGGTAAAGCCACTGTGGTTCCCTGGAATCCCGAGGTCAGCCTGGCCACAGTATGCCCCAGGTCTTCACCACCACAGGTAGTCGCAGCTCTTGTGGATCAGAGAGAGATTTGCCACCATGCGACTAGTTTGATACCAGGACGGTGGTAGATCCTGGTATTGGTTTACTCTTAGCTAGGCTTCCTGATGAAAAGGTTGGACTCCTTTTCAGCTTAGGAGACCCAGCCGGGATTAAGAATCTCCCGTTGTACATCGCAGTACACCCACGAACACCGCGCAGCCACGATGAGGCGGTAAACCGTTCGGAGGAATTGTAGAAAATGGTTTCTCTTAAGCAATGCCGAGTATGAAATGTGTCACGGAATCTATGGATATACAAAAGAAAATCGCTGAAAGTTCACTCAGCTAGTTGAACAACCATAAACAAAGTTCAGGAAAAAATCAACGAGTATTGTACGAACTCTACCCATCCGCTTTGCAACGAAATCAATGCGTATGGTTGTAAATATGGCATCCAACCAATGTGCTGAAGTTGAACAGTTTTAACCAGAACAATTTCATGTAAACGCTTTCATCACGTAAGGAGAGCGTCTCACTTTAACACAGCCACCACTTTAAATCAGAATTTTAACAGAGTGCTCCTAGACCAGCCGTAGAACAAACTTAACGTGTCCATTGCTTGATTTCAAGGTTTTCTCCATGACAGTTAAGCTTATGTGTAGTGCTGTATAGAATCCTTTTATAAAAGGATAAAAGGATAAAGCTCTCGACGTTGATCAGCCTCTGAGGGATACACCATACATTCAACTTCACCGAGGAATGTTAGAGGTGATTGCAAGCATATCCTGCCTTTAAAATGACTCGCTGTGGCCTACTGATGTATCAAGTCAGTGCTCCCATCCTCCCAGACAAGTTTGGTACCAATTTGTCGACCTCGGAGGGATGGAAGGCTTGGTGGGTAAGGACGCGGGTAATCGATCCCATGTGTATTGCAAGACGCCTCCAACCACTACACCACAAGCGCCCTTTCAAATCCTTATATAAAACATGAAATGTAATACAATACCTATTAGAAATTTGTAGAACATCATCCCTCTAATTGTCCCTCCGCTATTTTCATCGCTGTAACTATTTTGAAATGTCAGTGTGAATGTGATTCTTGTCAAAATGACACAGTGCTCTGAAATTCAATCAAATGGACGTTATCGACGGCAGAACATATAGTGTGAATGTTGTTATAAATAACGAGCATATGAAGACATAGTGATAAAACCACAGAGATGCTGAGATGTGAGAAAAAATCGGGACTTAAAGAAGGATTAGAACTTGTGACTACCCTCATCGGTGGCTCACGTCCCATCCGACACCAATCGGTGCCCTTGCTTTGCCTTTCTTTCATTCAATTTCTGCTCTATAGGTGCTGTAAGTGGACAAACCTCGACGTAAATGATCTGGGGAGCACAGATCACCATTGAACTCTGCTAAGCTGAAGCTGCAGTTGGAATCACAATGTCTTACTTTTTATTTGCTGCCTATTCCTCCTCTTTCCGTGGTACGTTACTATGTGAAATACCACCACAAGGATGCTGAGATTTCACTGAAGCTGGAAATTCTAGATGAGTTTTGAACCCGCGATAACCATAACGGGGGTTCACGTGCTACCTAAGTGTAATAGGTGTGTTGGGCATGATCGGCAGCAACACTTTAGCGGTGACCTAAATTATGACACCGCATTAGGCTCCTACACTCCTGGATTTGGACTCGTTGTATTATAATAGAAAACCCTCGGACCATGGAAAAGCAATCTTGTATTCTATTCTCGTATACTCTTGCATGTAAATCTACCCATTACCTAATCCTTAAAAACACTTGTAGTTATGGTGACAAGTTTACTACCATATTATAAAACATTCATTAAAAAGCACGAAAAATTTGAATTTGAAATGCTGATATTCTAATACGCAGTCTTCAAGCACTGCTTGCTTTTGACCTACACCTTTTTTGACCTTTTCTTTGGTGCTTTGAGCCAATAGCAATATCATTCCTTACGAATGTTCTGAACTTGAGAATATTCTAGTTGCTCTCTCACCTGGAAACCTTTGCGAACACGACATCGAAGTGGGCGAATGTAGTGGTGTATTTGTCCGATTTGGCTACGATAAGCTCACGAACGACTGCCGACAGTTCACGTATGGAGGTTGTGGAGGTAAGTCCGTCAGATTGCACCTAAGACACCTCGACTCTGTGTTGAGAAGCATTTCTCTAATAAAGGAATTTTGCCAGTGGTAAACAAGTTTATTAGATTTCTTGGCACAAAAAATAAGGGATAATAAGACGAAGAAAGAAAAAAGAGCAGTAGTTGTGTAGCAAAAAGAAAACGCACGTGTTTATCGGACCGCTTAGGTAATCAATACTCATATAATCCTCCCAGCATCGCATCTCAAACGTGCAGAGGTGATTTGTAAGTGTTTATAATGTTAATTACGAATGTTCCTTAGATAGCCATAGATTGTTATTCACTATTCCATAGATTATTAATAAATCAATAAATTAGCAGTTACTACTTGGATGGCCCGTCTTCACTAGTTGTCCTGGTTTCAGCACTTCCGTATTTCGGAGCTTTGCTGGTCTAGCTATTGTGGTTTCCCGAAGTCCTGAGATTAGCCTGGCCAAAGTCTGCCCTAGGTCGTCACAACCACAGGCAGTCGCAGCCCTTGTGGATCAGAGGGTATTTGCCACCATACGACTAATTTGATACCAGGACAGTGGTGGATCCTGGTATTGGTTTATTCTTAGTTCGGCTTCCTAATGGAAGCGCCGGACACTTTCTTAAACCACTGTGAAACACTGCCGGGAGGATGAACGCCCGCTGTACGTCGCAGTCGGACACCCAAGAACATCTCCTAGTCACGATGAGGCGGTAAATCGCTGCGAGGAATAGATTAGTATTCATTATTTTTGTCGTTTATACAAGTAATTTTTGTTATTTCATAAGTTTGTAGGTCAAAAGTTACTATAGGTCTTCGTCTACCAAACCATATGCTGGTCAAGAGAATGACAATAGTAAATGTGAAAATAATTGAGTTACTCCCTGTTTTTATTCAGATTTCTATTCGTTCATCTCTTTTATCCACTAAAACTTCTTACCATAGTTATTTTTAAGGTCTTAAATACTGAAACATCAAGTGCTGTATTTCTGTAATTACATAATTGCATGTGTTAAAGAGCGTAATAGTAGTGCAGTGGTCGGAGCCGCCCTGCCATGCACATGGGACCGATCCATGCGCCCCAGGCTCACTAAGCCTTCCACCCTTTCGGGGTTGGGAGATTGGTACCAGACTTGTCTGGGAGGGTAGCAGCGCACTGCTTCGATACATCAGTAGGCCACCGCGAGTCATTGTAAAGGCGAGATATGCATTCAATCACTTCCAACGATGCTTATTGAAGTCGAATGGGTGACGCTTCGCTCAAGGATTGATCAATGCCGAGGGTTTTATCCTTTATTCATGAGTGCGTTGTGATGCTATTAGATCTTCAAAGACATTTAATATCGCGTTCGATGTGAGCCACTTCAATTTCGTTCCGTACGAGGAAGATACAGCGTCATCATTGTATTTGTTGTAGTAGTTTTGGAACTCGTAGCAATTTTAGGCAATGGCAACAATTTTGCGACAGTACAAGAATGTCGGAATGTGTGCGTGAAGAAATTGTGCAATCCAAATCCACAGTGTGATTTGGCAAGCTGCCAAATTGTCAATGATCGCAATGGTTGCCCGTTCTGTAGCTGTCCACCAGTAAACCAACCAGTTCCGCCAGGTATCCTCATGGTGTTTTCTTTCAATCTTACTTACCGAGTGGTTATAACGTTAGATGAATATAAGGTGTGGTATGACACCGCATAAGTGCTCCATTGCTTTGATTCAGCCTCAAGGACATGACACTTAACGAGTGGGTCAAGCTCTTTATCCTCATGGGGTCAATCAATGGGTTTTTAGCTCATCTGTAAAATTTGCGTAAACAATTCTATCGGCTGTACAATACGACTAGGGCGAGTTTTTTGAAATCGGAGCGCGGTTGTCTATCAAATGCATTAATATTGCTCACCGATTAGATAGATCATACTAACATATGATGCGGATGTATGCCCACCTTCCATTCGATTCACTTCTTTGCAATAGTGATGCACGTGTGTGGTCTGAAATGTCCAGATACTGTTGATACAAGATCGATAATGAACCAGGTGCTGAGGTGTTTACAAGACTCCAAGCGGCAGGTGTCTGCGGTGGGGAACGAACGTGCTATTACCCTTTCTGGGGACTAACGGTTTCTCGGCTAGTTTTCTAGCGAACAGTGCCATCAGCAGTCACCTGCCATTCGGATTGACCGTTGATAATAACTTCATTTGTTTAGACAATCCGTCCTGCAGCAATCGTTACCGCAATCAACTAGTACATAGCGTAACAATATTTCAAAACCCGACTTTCCTACAACCTCGGCATTGGTAATCAACATGCATTTTATCATTGGTAAGCCAACATGAGGCTGATGAAAACGTTCCCCACTGGATTTGACTTGATGCTATGACGAAGACCCACATCGAAAGAAAGAAGAACTGCACAAAATCGACACGGATTAAACTGGCTCTGAGGAAGGTAAATGAGCCGAAACCTCAGCCAAATAAGATTTCCATCCGCCTCGTATTGGCCTATTGGAAAGAATAAATATTGATCAGTCATACAAAGGTTAAAGGAAAGTTGTTATTTGAAGTATGAGCAAAATAATATCACCGTAAACTAAGTTTCATTTTACCTCGATCTAAATGGTCAACGTTGCTTACTTTATTGATAAACTAGTCAAGGCTGTTATCACATATTTATCATCAGCTTTGATGAAGACGAAGAAGTCGAAACGTCGGTCGAATTAAAATGTGGTGATGACCTCGATTTAGCTTATCGACGAAATTATACGTGTGTGGAAAGTTGTTCAGCCAACAATTGAGGGGGGTGGTTGTTCTGCAACATACGTTTACTTACTTCCGCACTCAAAAGACACACACACATCACAACAGTAGCTGAGGTTTCCGATCGTCTTCTTCAGAGCATGGAAGGGTATAGTGATATTCAACTTACTACTTTTTCCGGAAGAAATACAAGTTGTTACCACCGGACATTATCATTACATCCACCATCAGCATCGTGTATAAAAGGACATTACTGAGTGAGGATGCCTCATTCGAGAAGATGGCTCGCTGAGGAAGACCTGACTCGACACGAAGGCGAAGCTGCAACGTCGAGACGAACAACAAGCATGGACCATCGACTCGGATCATCGGCTCTGAGGAAGACGAAGACGTCGAAACGTTAGCCGAAAATAAATAAATATCATTATCAACCTCGTGTAAGCTCATCAAAGAAAGAATGCATATCAATTTACTACGCCAAGGGCTTCAATAACACTTAGAAAAAGACGAAAAACTCTATGGTAATTACATGATCAACAGTTTCTCGAAACACTCACCGCTTTTTTTTGCGTGACTTCCAGTGAGGAAGGTCAGAACAGCTGATTAGAATCGCATAGGGTTGATGACTGCACCACCGCGCATCAAAACTCGATGCGAATACACGGAGCCAGATCGCGTGTGACCTCTGGGCTTTCCTTCCTGCTATTCATTTTAGGGCTCCTTGTATTTATCCAAAAAGCCTCAAGAAGTTTGCGCGTTGAAGTTTGGGCGTCCTTTGCGAGAATAGCGACATCTATATCAAAATCGCCTCCGCTATTTATAATCCATTGCCGAGGTTAAATAGGAAGTCGATCTTGAGAACTGTGTGGTACTGTTGTTGTTCACACTTTCCGTTCTTCGCATAAATTCTTTCTTTATTCATGAGACTTTATATTGCAACAGTCAGTGTTTTAGTATAGTTTGTTCCTGAGAATTCTTCTTTCCTACTGTTGCAATTTAACTACACCAATTTATCTTTGTTTATAGAAGGCGTAGAAGAAATTCACGCTATGTTAAGACCCTGCAGTGAGGAAAGAGAGGGATTTCTTTCCCAACGATTTACTTTCTTATTATAATAGAATATTTAGAGTAATGTCTAAAAAGTTTTTGAACAAAATATGGACAACAAGAAGGGTTTGTAAAATAATCCTATTCAGGATTGGGTACCACTCCGTGTCCAGAAATAAGCGTCGATAAATGCAAGGATCCGTGCATCCTCATAAATAACAGGAAAGGATGCAAGGTAGGATTCCACATGATTCACTTCTTATATGCGTTGTAGTAACAGTGTTCTGAACGGAAAAGGAGATGCCTATACTTGTAGGATTGTGTCTGTCCGTCGTCAGTAAACACCGGTGGTCAACCGCCTGCCGATTCCTTCCAAAGCTCAGTAGAGCAACAAACGCGTTCCACTTTCCGTGGTACTACGGAGACAACTCCACAGCAGGGTGGTGCTCGGCCACCTGCTATGCCGAATAATGTAGGCCCTCCATCTGGACCAACTGCCAAGCGTGTTACGTCCCCAGCCAGTAGTGATGCCCGTGTCCGTCAAGGTGGGCGTTTTTTAATGGGGTTCATTGACGCAGCCAAACGTTCCGTAGTATTCGTTAAGTGATTTTTATGGTGTTTTTTCATATCTTTTTAACGTGACCTTTTATTATATTTACATTTACTTATCCCAGCACTTATTGCATTCAATTGGTTTCCTCGCATTCATAATTCATGAAGATCATCGAACTTTTTGCCTTTGGGTTCAGCTACTACTTAAGGATTTTCACCAATTTTTTCATCTTGTTTATGAATGTCGCTGATTATTAGTCGACTCGATCCACTTTGGAATTTTACAATAGTAGTTCTGGGACGTTGCAATGTGTATTAGAGGAAGTGGGCTTGTCCTAGAGAAGACCGTTGACAATTTCGTGACACTGAAGGGACAGAGGGTTGTTGAGCAGGGGGATGAGGCGGCACCGTTCTCAGCGATCAGCGGAATCACTGGCATTGCGCTACCCGCTTTTTTTGCTTTCATACCAACAATTTTGAATCCTCATAATGAAGTGCCATTACTGCTTTTTTATGTTTTTGTTCATGTTTCCATTGTTCATTCTCGTGCCTTTTTTCATTCTAGTATGCCTTCTTTACCTCCTCTTCTTCTTTTTCAGATCTTCTAAACTTTTTTGAACCTTTTAAAAGTTCAAAATTCTTTGAAGGAAAAACCAATGGTGTTTTTGTTTCAACTTTTAGTTACTACCCATTTATTTTAATGGCAGGCTACGACATGAAATACAACCAAAAGGATGATGAGATATGAGTGAAACTCGGAACATCAGGTTGGCTTCGAAACTGCGATTGCCCCTTTACCAAGGGGCACGCACTATCCGCCACATCAACTGAGGCCTTTGCTTTGCCTTTCTCTTAGCCAATCTTCTTGCTCTATTGACGCTCTCTGCAATATCTGTTTTTGTCCTAGAAATCGGAATAATATCGATTGAAACGTATTGTTTTCTAGAGTAGTCACTGAGTTCCATTCTTTTCCATTCTTATTTGGTAGTTTCAAAGCAGCAAATCATTTTTAGAATCCGCGCTTACTGTGCCATCGACTCAGACGAAGCAGATTGAAATCGACTCAAAGCTGTTGCCACCTCCACTTTCAGCACAGCTACAGGAGAAATGCATGCAACCAGTGGTTAGTACAAATCTTTACTTATCCAGCTTTTAAGTATGAAATATTTACGAAAACGTTTTTGGGGGGCATGAATATCAATAGTGACGATCACAGTACAGTATTTAGTCGTTAACTAACTTTATCGAATTTCGTGTAGAACAAACCAGGAGTTGCGTTTCTACTCTTCAGACAATCAGGTACCCTACATCCTGCCGGGAAATGAGATATCCTCAGTTGGGACCATATTTACTCAAAAAATTTTATTTTTTAAATCTGTATGTGCAAATGGAGTGTGTTCTATGCTTTTTCTGTTTTATCCGTGTACCGTTAATGGAGTTGTTTAAAGTATTATCATATATTCATGAGTACTGGGATAGGTAGATGGTGCTTGAGGTGTTGTATGTTGGCGTTGACATCTAGTTTTTTTCGTTTATTAAATAGACCAGATAAATAGACAGACACTTCTAAATCGCCGGTGTTGCGTTTTCTACTACCTAATTCTAAGTTATTATTTAACATATTCAAAAATCAATACCTTTCCAGAAATGGAAGAATTCAATTTAATTGTCTAGGAACCTGGTCCATGCAAGCATTTCGTTGACCGCTGGTATTTCAACTCTGTGGATGGAACGTGTCATCCATTCAAATATGGTGGTTGTGCCGGCAATCGCAACCATTTCTTCACGCAGAACGAATGCGAAATCCACTGCGCTCGCTTCTTACGTAAGTTCCTGATATCGGTATTCAACTAACATTGCAAAGGATTGGTCGGAATTCAAGGAAACGTCCGTATGCTCTTTGTGCCCTTCCTAGTGAAATCGTTCTAGTTCTAGACGACGAAAAACAGGGTGTCCCCATTGCTTCTGTTTGGGGCATTGCAGCGCTATTTAGCCTATGTTAGATCTTTTTCTACTCCTCAAGTTATTCAGTATTAAGTGTCCGATTTGGATGGATGTTTAACATAATCGCAAAAAAACTTTGTCTAGCAAAATAAAAACCATGATAACGTACAGATTTCTGTAAATAAAGCAAGGTTCACTTATTCTAGTGGAACGAATTTTTGTAGCTCTGA